GATCGAGTGTGAACAGTGACAGGATTAGGGGTGGAAGGCTCAGCAGGAGAGCAGAGGAACATCAGTGAAGGTTGTGAGAATGCCAGAATCCAGGGTCAGGCTGTCTAGAACAGGAAGTAAGACAAACCAGATGGAGAGAGCTCCGAATATGCTTCCAAGGCAATTCCCACCTCCCCACTTTCATATTTAACTGACTCAATCTGCTGCACTGTGAGAGTGCATTCCCTTCCCACGCCCCTGCATGAGGTCCGAGCTTCTGCTGAGACTCTCTCCTGCCATCAGGTGAGCACTTCCTCCCCAATCCCAGCTGGTGTGGTAGGAGGAGGACTCTTACCCTGGTCGAAGTTGAGTTTCTTGGTTGGAGGAGTTTCTCCTAGCCCTTCAATATCCACCAGGTCACTGTTGGCGTCGGAGTCGTTCAGAGCACTAAGTGTCACATCTGGGAGGGGGTACAGGTTATGTTCTAGGTTCTCCTAACTGTGCCCGCCCCCCAGCTTTCCAGAACTTTGTGCTCTACCTCCCTCCATCTGGGAACCACAGGCAGAGGAATAGAGATTTGTCTATTTCTTACCCAGGTCCAATTCTCTCAAAGAACCTCAGATAAGACCTTTAACCCCTACCCTAGGTGCAACTCCATGGCCCTCACCAGCCTTCTGTTTCTTTATGGGGGGACCCCCCGCCTCAGTGACACTGGAGTTGCTGGGTGGTGGGGCGGCTGGAGGAGGTGACAGGACACCAGATGCCAGCTTCTTGGGTCCTTTCTTGGGTGACTCAGTTGGAAGGGGGATGCCAGAGTCTTCATACACCTTTCGTTTCACAGTGGCCTTTATCTGAGCCCTGAAGAGAAAAAGACAATAGATTACAGGAGAAACTGTCAGGGAGCCTGAGGGAAGAAGGGAGGAGTGGGAAATCTGGAACCCCCTTTATAAGAATCCTGGTCAGGGCCCCGAACTTTTGGTAGGGTTCTCAGTACTCAGGGCAGATGAAGTGTGAAGAGAGGAGTCCCTGAACTGAGTAATTGGGAAGGCCCATCTCCAATCTGCCAATGTACAGATGTACAGGGCCACCAGGTAAGGCTAGGTGATGTACAGGTAGATTGAGACCTGTCAACTAGTTCAGAAATACAGTATCCCTGGCCACACTAGTGCTATATAAATAACCAGGGAACTCCCATTATCAAATACAATAATTAAGTATCTCAGGGTACTCTAAACTCAAATTCTTGGAAGGTCTTTAGTTCTAAAGCAGTTTACAAAAATGGTTACAATTCTTACATTCTTTCAATTCTCAAGGGAATGCTGCCAAAACTAGCAAAAAGTAGAAAAGGTGCTGAGCTGGGAGTTCTGAGCAAGATGGAATAACCGTTAAAGAGGAAGAAAGCTACCCACCCCCCTTTCTCTGCCACCCTCCCTCACACTGTCCGATCCTTGATGACACAGCTGATGTGATTAAGATCGTCCCCAAATCGCTTCACAGCAGCCCTCAGCATCTCTATCTCCGTCTCCGTCCACTTCGCACTGTCAGAAGGAGGTGGGGAGGGACAGCAAAAAAAAAAAAAAAAAAAAAAAAGGAAAGTGTGGAGCTAGCCCACCGGCTACGCATTCCACAGCCAACCAGCCTCCTTCCCACAATCTCTGGGTTCCCTTCCAGGGATTCATAGAGGGTATTCCTTTTTTAAAAAAGTTCTAGGGACCCCTAACCACACGAAATTGCATCCACCACCCCCTTACAAAACCCTCTCCCTCATTAACGTGCAACAGCTGCTGTAAACAGCCCACGAAAACCAATTCACCAAGTAGAGAGGCCTTACAAACAGAATCCCTGAACATAGTCTGCAGTAGCTTGAGGGGATAACGTAATTTGGGGTGGTGGTAGTGGTGGTTGGCCAGTTGCCTCGAGTTCAACTGTGAAATCTAAGTCCGGGTTGTAGAACTGTTTGCATCATCTGTCATTCACTTACTCATTTCAACAATCACTTATTAACACCTACTCTGCGCTGTGCCAGGCACAGAGACAAAATAACATCTGCCCCTGCCCTAGAGAAGGTCCATGTCTGACAGGTCCAAGCGTCTGTTCTTAGAGTCCACGTCCCAGCCCGGGCTCACGTACCCCGCAGGGGAAGAGTCGGACACGGGATGCAGCTGCATCGTCAGCTCCCCGAGCTTCGTGAAGGCGGCTCCGGCAGCGGAGAAGATCTCTCCGACCTGGGGGGCGGAGCAGTATTACTGGGGGCCGGCGCCCAGCCCGCTCGCCGTCCCGCCCGGAGCCCCTAGCCCCACCCCAGAT